GCGTGGTCATTGTCGTCTGAAGTGATCGGGCAACATAGCACACACCTTACAAAACAGTTTTCATTCCATCCATCAACAGTGACACTACTAACCTTCTGCCATCTGTCAAAGGCTTCATTTTACTTATGATTATATGGCCACCACCTTGTGCAACATCAGGTGGTTCACGATGTAATTTTTTACTTTCGTTTTAAATATTTTTAATCCGTTTTAATTTGTTCCTGACATACAGCTCTGTGTAGTCTGTAATAATTTTGACGATTGTACCATGTATCCAGCTTTCACCAGGTTATTCGGTGTTTCCCTCAACCTAAACGTAAATAACATTTAACAACATCTTCGCATACTACTGTAAGTTAATTTAAAATTGATTTTGCATAACAGTTGCTATTTTTCTCAATGTTAGAGCAACTCCTGATGAAAATGGCAAAGTCCATTGAAAGCTAGAGATTAATAAAGTATAAGGAGTCCTCTTTGCTTAAATTTTGTCGAAGTACCCAACAAAACGTGGAAGCTTTACCTTTCACCTATATATATATATATATATATATATATATATATATTTCATATGTGTAGATAATAAATAACAATCCTTACAATTTAGTATGTTTAACTATGATGTGGATGTCTATTCTGGAAATATTCTCTGATTAACTATTTTTATGTTGCGTAGCAACACTACAGATCGAGGGATATCAACACAAAACAAACGTCACAAAGAATACCTCTGCTTACAATCAACAATAACTCTCATTTATTTTCCTTCATAATTCAATAAACAAGCGATCCCCTTTTGGAAAACGGCTTTCCAAGCTTTTACACACATCCGAGTTAAAAAAGTAACCCATAATTTGTTACAAGACGTACGAAATAGGCGGATGTATATTTCATGCTAGAAACGGAAAAAGGTAGACTTACATACCAACAACGTTCACAAGGGCAAGGACTTCACAGAAGTAATATTTGTAGGCCCACCAGTTGTGATACCTTAGATTCTCCCACAGGTAGTCGATCATCAATTTCTTCTTTTGCTTTTTCTCGATCTCCGTACAAACCGCTACGTCTAGGTCCATCATGAGAGCGTGAATCTTCCCGCCCTCCCACGATTTCCACAGCCATCTTGGTGCGTAGAACAGCATCGCCTGAAAAAACGACATTCAATCGTTATCTCAGAATACTTTTTTAAAAAATGTAGATAGAGATTACATAAGTTTGAGCAAAAAAGCTCCAGAACAGAAAGGCAGCTATCATAATATTACGAACTAGCAATGCTTCCTATCCGATACGTGTAGTTGTATAGTTGGCCTTGTGTTGGGTAATAACAACTAGGATTTTTTTTATTATTTCCAATATGTAACCTTCTTTTATGATTGCAAGCTGCTGAGTACAGGTCCTGTGCACTTTTTACGAGTTTTCGTTTCAATTATCCAGTGACAAATCGCCTTAATTATTACGTTACTCTAAGGGGCCGTTCAAGTATTATGTAAGCAGATTTATTACAATTATTTACCCCCCATCCTCCTTGTCAGCAAAAGTAAGCAAAGCTCTTACCCCCTCCCCCCATGCTTACGTGAACATTTGTCAATTAATGTATTGTTTTTTTTAATATTATAATTATAACGTTATAATTATAATTTGAAAAATAAGAAAATAGATTTAGGATAGAGATTATATTTTACTGTATACGGTATTCAATATAGAGTAAAGGACAAAAATAGTATATCTTACTAACATAACAAACTTATTTTAAATTTTTGGCACATACAGGGTGTGCCAGATGTCGACGTCAAGCCGAAACCGGATGATAGGCAAAGTCATAACAGCTATCAGAAAAATATTTAAAAAAATTTTATGTATGTGTTTTGAAGATTATAGGTCTTTGAAAAAGATATAGAAATTTCACACCCTACGGTAGTCTGTCAACTCCTGTTACTACAAATATTAACTTTTTTTGGATTTTATTTTTACAATGTAATGATGAATAATGCATCTTCAAACTGGTGTCTCAACCTTACTGCCAACTTTTCTCGTTCAAGAAAAATTGTCACTTATTTCCCAACCAAGTATACCAAAGTAAAACTTTGCTCAACTTCAACTGGCTGTACTGGAAAAAATGTACTACGAGAGTTTGGCAAGTCACCTTAAAAGTTGGCGCATTTAATAACGATTCCAAAATGGTATAACACTTAGAAGATTACTCGTTAACTTACGCACAATTTTTGTTTGAAAAAAAACTGATGAAAATTATTCAAAATTTCCTAATTAAACAGCGATTATGAAAACGCACAAGGACCCTTAATGATAACTGTTTGCACAACAGTGGGCGTCAAAATGCTGCTGATGATGATTCACCTTTACAGCAAATGCTCAAACTGTTTTCCTTCAGTCGCAAAACACGCTCGGCATCTTAAAAAAGATCGGGTTATTAAACGAGCGAATCCACGGTTATTAACAAACTCAGCTGCTTCCAATAGTCTTTGCCGTAGCTCAGCTACATTTTGAATCGGCTTGAAATACACTTTTTCTTTTACAGTTCCCCAGTAAAAAAATCTAAAGGATTCAAATCAGGTGATCGGGCTGGCCACGGTATTGTACCAGACCGCCTTATCCATCTGCCTGGAAAGTTTTGATCGAGATACTCTCTCACTGAGAGTGCATAGTGCGCTGGGCAGCCATCATGCTGAAACCACATGTCCCTGTAAATACTCAGTGGCACGTCCACCAATAAATTTTGTACATGATTTTTCAAAAAATCCAAATAAACTTCAGCAGTCAAAGTCTCTGGGAACTCAAACGGACCGATTATTTTACCATTTAAAATTCCTGTCCAATGGTTTATCTTGAAGCGATATTGAGATTTATCTTCTCTCATCAAATGTGGGTTTGCTACGTGCCACTCGTATAAGTTATGCAGGTTCATGTACCCATCTTTCTTAAATGTGGTCTCATCCGACCATAAATTTTTTTCAAAGAACTGTGGATCTTTCCTGTGTCTTTCTAACATTGTGCGACAAAAAGCAACTCGGGGCTCATAATCCCGGGGCAGGAGTTGTTGAACACGCTGTATGTGGTATGGATGAAGCACATCACTTACTTGCTATTGCACACTTTGATACCGATCAGTACTCCTTCGTTTACTGCGCATCTTTACATGTTCGTGCTTGTTGATTTCATACTGTTACTAATTTTGGATTCGTGAACTGGACTGTTGATCGCTTGTGATTTGGATTTGGACTGTTTAATTGCTCTTCATAACAACATTTGCTTTCCTTAGACTATCTTTGATAGTGTGATTGTGCAGTGCCGCTATGTCCGTGTACACCGTACAAGAATATGCTAACATGCACCTCATTTATGGGGAATGCAGATGCAACGCTAGTGCTTCAGCGAGACTTTACTGTGAGAGGTACCCGAATGCAGCTCGTCATCCAGATCATCGAGTGTTCACAAATGTGCACAGCTTACTGTTCTCAGAGGGCCAACTACCAAACCAATCACACGGTGAGGGAAGATTTTCCCTTCCTTACGAAGACGTGGTGCTAGGAGCTGTCGAAGAAGACCCGAGTACTTCAGTGCGTGCAATAGAACTAAAAACAGGTGTGCCCAAAAGTACAGCCCATAGAATCTTGCAAAAAAACGTCCTCCATCCATACCACGTACAGCGTGTTCAAGCTCTTCTGCCCCGGGATTATGAGCCCCGAGTTGCTTTTTGTCGCACAATGTTAGAAAGACACAGGGACGATCCACGGTTCTTTGAAAAAATGTTATGGTCAGATGAGACCACATTTAAGAAAGATGGGTACATGAACCTGCATAACTTACACGAGTGGCACGTAGCAAACCCACATTTGATGAGAGAAGATAAATCTCAATATCGCTTCAAGATCAACCATTGGACAGGAATTTTAAATGGTAAAATAATCGGTCCGTTTGAGTTCCCAGAGACTTTGACTGCTGAGGTTTATTCAGGTTTCTTGCAAAATCATTTAGAAAATTTATTGGAGGACGTGCCACTGAGTATTTACAGGGACATGTGGTTTCAGCATGATAGCTGCCCAGCGCACTATGCACTCTCAGTGAGAGTGTATCTCGATCAAAACTTTCCAGGCAGATGGATAGGGCGGTCTGGTACAATACCGTGGCCAGCCCGGTCACCAGATTTGAATCCGTTAGATTTTTTTTACTGGGGAACTGTAAAAGAAAAAGTGTATTTCAAGCCGATTCAAAATGTAGCTGAGCTACGGCAAATACTATTGGAAGCAGCTGAGTTTGTTAATAACCGTGGATTCGCTCGTTTAATAACCCGATCTTTTTTAAGAAGATGTTGAGCGTGTGTTGCAGCTGAAGGAAAACAGTTTGAGCATTTGCTGTAAAGGTAAATCATCATCAGCAGTATTTTGACGCCCACTGTTGTGCAAACAATTATCCTTAAGGGTCCTTGTGCGTTTTCATAATCGCTGTTTAATTAGGAAATTTTGAAGAATTTTCATCAGTTTTTCTTCAAATAAAAATTGTGTATAAGTTAACGAGTAATCTTCTAAGTGTTATACCATTTTGGAATCCTTATTAAATGCGCCAACTTTTAAGGTTACTTGCCAAACTCTCGTAGTACATTTTTTCCAGTACAGCCAGTTAAAGTTGAGCAAAGTTTTACTTTGGAATACTTGGTTGGGAAATAAGTGGCAATTTTTCCTGAACGAGAAAAGTTGGCAGTAAGGTTGAGACACCAGTTTGAAGATGCATTATTCATCATTACATTGTAAGAATAAAATCCAAAAAAAGTTAAAATTTGTAGTAACAGGAGTTGACAGACTGCCGTAGGGTGTGAAATTTCTATATTTTTTTCGAAGACCTATAATTTTCAAAACAGATACATAAAATTTTTTTAAATATTTTTCTGATAGCTGTTATGACTTTGCCTATCGCCCGGTTTCGGCTTGACGTCGACTTCTGGGACACCCTGTATATTAAATTCAAATTAACAGTCTTCAGTCCATGAAACCCGATCCATGATTCTAAGTTTTCGATGACATTGAATTGCTTCGATTGCTGCTCAGTGTTGTGAGTTTGCTCGCTTTCATCGGATTTTGGAATGTCTACGTCGTTGTCATCGAGCCATTCAACATCATGGTGCTCTAAATATTGAATAATGCACATCAGTTCATTAACAGCGACTCTTACAGGTCTAACTTTCCTATCAGTGTGCGTGTGTACTTTTTTATGGATATCTTCTATGTGACGATTTAGTGACTTGACGAAAGCGTGAAAAAGACCACACGTTTTGCATGTTCGAGTTGATAGCCTCAATTTTACCGTCGGACAAAAATAATCGTAGGGCATTTGCATCTTTGAGTGAAGCACTTAAGCGTAGAGCTAAATTGACTCGAAGATTAAGAAATTGCCCTCCTTCATCCAAAACCAAGTCATCAACTGTTTGTTTTACTTTTACAGGTGGTGGAAGAAAAATATTGTCTAGTAATCTAAATAGGCCACTTCTTGGACGACAGCATTCTGTATTTCTACATTTTACAATTTGAAGCAAGTATTGGCTCTCACGCACATGTTCTGAATACCATTTAATGTCTGGAAAATCAGGAAGATCTTGTTCACCTGCCCCAACATATTTTACATTAACATTATAGCCATCAATTTCCATTGAACCCTATACTTCAGCTAATACATTTCCTGCAAATTCGAAATTAGATCTTTCTAAATGTTCATCAATTGTAACGCCACCCTGTCATACGCACTTCTTCCAGGAGCATTGGTAGCTAAAAACAATGCATCGAGATCATGTCGCTTAAAGTGTTGTATAGCAAACCCTATGACTTTTTGATAACGTGGATTTTCATCTGGTCCACCATCAACCGTCATGATTGCCACTGGTTACTAGTCCATGGTTAGTTTTAGCTAATGGTCGAAACTATTCAAGTTCGAGAAGCGTCTCGAAATCCTGAGCATGAGTATCAGCAGTAGATGAGCTATGCTTTCAACTTCGAATAGCGATGTATGTTGGTCCAGAATATCCAACGGCTTGCGGTTGTCCTAGCATATTGGAAGTGATTTTGATACCAGCATAAACAGATGGTATTAATTTATGACGCTCAACGATTACCCAATCGTGATTTGATTCTATATTCCA